GGTGAAAGACCTATACACTGAAACCATTGAACACAGAAATTGAAGAAGATACAAATAAATGGAAAGATATCCCAATCCCATGTTCTTAGATTAAAATATTAATATTGTTAAAACATCCATACTACACAAGGTGATCTACAGATTCAATATAATCCCTATCACAATTTCAATTGCATTTTTTCACAGAAATAAATAAAACAATCCCAAAATTCATACAGAACCACAAAAGACCCCAAATAGCCAGAGCAATCACAAGAAAGAAAAACAAAACTGGAGGCATAATATGCTTGATTTCAAACTGTATTACAAAGCTATTGAAATCAAAACAGTATGTACTGGCGTGAAGACTGACACATAAAACAATGGAACAGAATAGAGAGTCCAGAAATAATGCAACCCAATCCATATATGTTCAACTAATCTTTGACAAGGCACCAAGAATATAAATAGAGGAAGGATTGTCTCTCCAATAAATTGTGTTTGTAAAACTGGATAGCTACATGTGCAAGAATGAAACTAGACCCTTATCACAAAAACCATATGATCTCACCTATAAGTGGAACCTAGCCAACAAAACAGAGATGCAATAAAAATATGACCAGCAACACTGAAAGAAAAAAGAAACCAACAGAGTCAAGAGGAAAGGAGGGAAGAGTGGGCGGGGGAAAGGAAGGGAAGGGTCAAGTCACGGAACACATAGTAAGGACTCATGGACAAAGCCAAAGTGGGTAAGGGTTGAGGGAGGGTGATGGGGGAGGAGGGGCAGGGGAAAGTGGTGGTGGGAAAGTGGAGACAAATGTATTTGAACAAAAAAAAAGAAATTAAAAAAAAGAGAAACTGGACCCTTCTCTTATATCACATGTAAAAATTTACTCAAAATGGATTAAAGAATTAAATATAAGACTGGAAACTGTAAAACACATGGAAGAAAACACTAGAGGAAAAACTCCTTGATATTTGTCTTGGTAATAATTTATTTTTTATATGACACCAAAAGCAAAGGCAACAAAAGCAAACTAAACAGCTGGGACTACATCAAACTGAAAAGCTTCTGCACAGCCAGGGAAACCATCAATCAAATGAAAAGGCAACTCAGAAAAGGGAATAAGATATTTACAAACCATATACTTTATAGGGGGTTAATACCTAAAATATATTTAAAATGCATACAATATAACAGGGAAAAAAAGACAGGCAAAAATATCTAATTGCAAAAATGGGCAAAGGGGGACCCTACAGCCAGCAGTGACAGTAGCAAAAGCAATAACAATCAAAGAATCCCTAGCCAGGTAGAAAGAGAAAACCAGTCAGATGCCATCTGAAGCCAAAGAGATAAAGCTTTATGTCCAAATTCCCCCTATGGAGAAGATGGATGCATCTTTGTCCATGCTAGCTAATTGCCAGAAGCTTTCACTGTTTACAAATTGCATTGAAAAAATTGCCAACCTGAATAGTTTAAGTGATCCACAATAATGGATGGTTCATGGATTTTTCTTGTTTTTGGAATAAACATTCCACAGACACTATGTAATCCCAGAAGCTGGAACCTGTTTTAACCACAATAATTGCCAGATGACAGAGCAAATATATAAATCACATGACTTTAGGTTTGATTATCCAAAGAAAATTACAGATACATGAGACCTGAGCATTTTAAAAATATTTTAAAGCTCTTACGGAGTTAGAATTGAGATATCGAATAAAGAATCAGATTTTTTATAATTAAGAAAATGGGCAAAGGACCTGAATACACAGTTTCCAAAGAAGATACACAAATGACCAACAGATATATAACAAGATGCTCAATATGACTAATCATCAGGGAAATGCAAATCAAAACCACAATTAAATATCAGTTCACACTTGTTAGGATGACTGTTATCAAAAAGTCAGGAGAGACTTCCAGCCAAGATGGAGGTGTAGGTAGATATACTTTGTCTCCTCACACAACCAAAAGAAAGAGAACAACAAATTTAAACACAAAAAATAACTAGACTGCTAGAAAATCGAACTGTGTGAATGTCCAACAACTAAGGATTAAAAAAGAAACAGTCATCCAGACTACTGGGAGGGGTGGAGAGGACGGGTGGCATGGCTGTGGCCAGAGGACTGGGCAGGCAAAGCAAAGGCTGGCGGACAGAGTGGTCCCACATTTGTGTGTGGATAAACTGGGAGGAACAACTGGGGAATAAGATAGACCATGCAACCCAGGGTTCCAGCTAGAGAAAAGCCTCAAAACCTCTGGCTATAAACACCTCTGGGGGATGAGGCAGTGGGAGAAACTCCCAGCCTCACAGGAGAGTTTGTTGGAGAGACCCACAGGGTCCTATGATGTCTACAGATCCACTCACCCAGGAATCAGCACCAGAAGGAGCCAGTTTGCTTGTGGGTAGCGAGGAAAGTGACTGAAAGCTGCCAGAGAGCCGAGCAAACAGCATTGTTCCCTCTTAGACCCCTTCCCCACATATAGCATCACAATGCAGCAACCTGGGTTGTCCCACCCTGGTGAATACCTGTCTCCACCACTTACAACATAACAGGAGCACTGAGATAAAGAAATATGGCCCAAATGAAATAACAGATCAAAGCTCCAAAAATAGAACTCAGTGATGAACAGATAGTCAACCTATCAGATGCACAGTTCAAAACACTGGTAATCAAGATGCTCACAGAAATGGCTGAGTATGGTCACAAAACAGAGGAAAAAGTGAAGGCTATGCAAAGTGAAATAAAGAAAAATACACAGGGAATCAACAGTGAAGAGCAGGAAGCTGGAAGGCAAATCAACAATTTGGAGCGGAAGGAAGAGATAAAGATTTCAACCAGAACAGAACGAAGAAACAAGAATTCAAAGAAATGGTTTAGGAACCTGTGGGACAACTTTAAAGCTTACAACATCTTAATCATAGGAGTGCCAGAAGGAGAAGAGGAAGGGTAAGAAATTGAAAACTTACTTGAAAAAATAATGAAGGAGAACTTCCCCAATCTGGTGAAGGAAATAGACTTTCAGGAGATCCAGAAAGCTCGGAGAGTCCCAAAGAAGTTGAATCCAAGGAGGACAAACCATGACATGTCATTATTGTTATCCAAGATTAAAGATAAGGAGAGAATCTTTAAAAGCAGCAAGAGAAAAGGAGACAGCCCTGGCTGGTTTGGTTCAGTAGATTGAGTGCTGGCTTGTGAACCAAAAGGTCACTGGTTCAATTCTCAGACAGGGTGCATGACTGGGTTGCAGGCCAGGTCCTCCAGTGGGGGGTGCATGAGAGGTAACCACACATTGATGTTTCTCTCCCTCTCTTTCTTTCTCCCCTCCCCTTTCTAAAAATAAATAAATAAAATATTTTAAAACAGAGAGAGAAAAAAAGACAGTTACCTACAAAGGAGTGCCCATAAGACTACCAGCTGATTTCTCAAAAGAAATCTTGCAGGCAAGGGGCTGGAAAGAAGTATTCCAAGTCATGAAAAGCAAGGACCTACATCCAAGATCACTCTATCCAGCAAAGCTATCATTTAGAAGGAAGGGCAGGTAAAGTGCTTCCCAGATAAGGTCAAGTTAAAGAAGTTCATCATCACCAAGCTCTTATTATATGAAAATTTAAAGGGACTTATCTAAGAAAAAGAAGATTAAAAATTATGAGCAGTAAAATGACAAGAAACTCACAGCTATCAACAACTGAACCTAAATAAAAAACAGTCAAGAGATAACAAATGTTGCAGAGGGTGTGGAGAAAAAGAAACCCTTGTACATTGTTGATGAGAATGTAAATTGATAAGCCATTATGGAAAACAGGATAGAATGTTCTTGAAAAATTAAAAATAGAACTACCACCTGATCCAGCAATTCCTACATTTGGGTGTACGAGTATATCCCAAGGAAATAAAATCACTACTTCAAAGTGATATCTGCACTCCCTGTTCATTGTATCATTATTCACAATAGCTAACATATAGAAACAAACAAGTGTCTATCAAAAGATGAATAGATAAAAAATATAATATATGTAAAATGGAATATTATTGAGCCTTTAAAAAGAAGTAAATTCTGTCATTTGCAACAACATGGATAAATACTGGAGAGCATTATGCTAAGTGAAATAAGCCAGATAGAGAAATACAAACACTATATGGTATCACTTATATGTAGAATTTTTTTAAGTGAAACACATAGAAACAGAGTAGAATGTTGGTTGCAGAGGCTATAAGGTGGGGAAAATGGGGAGATGTTGGTCAAAGCATATAAACTTTCAGTATGTTTTGAGTTCTGAGGATTGAATGTATGGCATGGTGACAAGAGTTAATAATAATGTATTGTATACTTGAAATTTGCTTTAAAAAAAAGGTAGATCATAAGCATTCACACCACACACACACAAAAGAAAAAGGAAACTATGTGAAGTAATGGGAGAGTTAATTATCTTGATTGTGGTAGTTATTTCACAGTGTATACATATATCAAATCATCATGTACACTTAAATTATATACAATTTTATCCATCAATTATACCTCAATAAAGATGGAGGAAAAACAGAGGAAATCTTCATGGCCCTGGATGTGACAATAGTTTTCTTAAATATGGCACTTAAACCACAGGCAACAAAAGTAAAAACATAAACTGGACTTCAAAATGTTTAAATTTTGTTCATCGGAGGACCCTATTTAAAAAGTGAATAAACAAAACAGAATGAGGAAGTACAGTGAAAAGGAAATCTGTGTCCTGTCAACCATCCAGAATGCAGACTTAATAGTGGTGTTTCAGAACAGTAAAATCAAGCAGCACAACACATACAACAGCTGCCTGCATGGTCAGTGTCAAAGGCATCATGGACTCTTGTAGTATATCTTTAAAAAAACTAAAATCAATCTAAAAAAAAAAGTAGATTCTGGTGGCTGGAGGACTGGATGGTTCTGCCAAATCCAAGCGGAAAAGGATGATCCCTATCTTTTGATAGGGGGAGTGAAAATATCCGCCTGCCTACATAAGCATAAATAAGCAGCTGAGCAGTCCAACCCGCACACTCCAGGACCCCCAACTTGCAGCTGCCTACCTTACCCACAGCTCTGGCCTCATACTCACCCTCTAATGGCCATGGCTCAGTCACTGGCTCTAAGCACCTTTGTCCTGGTCCTGGCCTTCTGCATCCCCTGGACCCAAGGTATCAAGGGGGGAGCTACCTGTGAGGGGGGAAAGGGGCTGGAAAGGCCTGATTGAGAGCCTATAAGTAACCCCTGACTCCCTGCGAACCCCACCCTGCAGGCAGTGGTAGAGGGGCACTGGACTGTTGCCTCAAATACAGCGTAAGGAAGATTCCCGCTCCACTTGTCCGCAGCTACCGGAGACAGGATCCAAGCTTGGACTGCCCCATCCCAGCTATCCTGTGAGTGAGTGCAAGTGGGTGGGTGCAGTTCAACAGGTTGGGCATGGTAGGCAAGACTAGGAAGGCTTGCTAATGCCCACTCCCAGGTTCTCACCTTGGAAGCGCTCTCAGCGAGAACTATGTGCTGACCCTAAGGAGGCCTGGGTGCAGCAGCTGATGCAGCGTCTGGACACATCACCAGTCCCACAGAGACCAGTCCAATGTTGTAAGAAGAACAAGTCTAACAAGAAAAGAAAGTGCTCCAAAGGCTGTAAAAGGTGAGAAAACTGAAGGGATGGGGGAGGGAAGTAAAGGGGATCCTCCATCAGTCCCTCAAACCCCTCTTCTCCCCTCCCAGGACTGAACAGACGCAGACCCCTAAAAGGCCATAGCCCTGTGACCAGCCTGGGGCCCAGGAGACCCTCATCAGCCTCACCAGGGTTTGAAGCCCCAATCCAAGGGGCAAGAAGAGGTCTAGGAGAGAGAGAGGACTCAGGGGCCCCAGAGCAGTCCCTCCACCCCCATACTGGCCTTGTCTCATCACTTCTCTTGCTTCAACCATCTGTACTTGTAGCCCTACCTGCATGGCTGAGTTGCTCGCACCAGGCCAGGCCCAGAAAAGCAGAGAAGGCAATGTGAGAGGAGGCAGCAGGACTGCCCCCTCTGAGGAAAAGTCACCCAGGACCCTGGACCTGATCCTGCTCCCCACTGCACCCAACCTGTTCCTTATAAATAAGATTTATACAAAACTGAATAAAAAGCTGTTCTGGCCTCCTATCTAAGTACATGTTCTTTTGTGTCTGTGTCCACGGGGAAGCCAGTATCACCAAGGGGTAGAGGCAAGAGCTCAAGCTGGCAAGTTCTATGTTCTTCCATACCCCAAGAATTCCATCCCCTCCAAGGTGTCTAGACCCATGGACAGGAGAGGGGAAGTTGACAGGTAGGGTGGAAACTTATTTGTACCTGGTCTATGAGAATTTTTGCTTTCTTAAAATATATTTTATTGATTATGCTATTACAATTGCCCCATTTTTTTCTCCCCTTCATTCCCCTCCATCCTGCACTGCCCCCCACAAGCATTCTCCCCCTTTAGTTCACGTTCATGGGTTGTATATATAAGTTCTTTGGCTTCTCCATTTCCTATACTATTCTTAGCCTCCCCTGTCTATTTTGTACCTACCATTTGTCCTTCTTATTCTCTGTACCTTTTCCCCCATTCTCCACACTTCTCCTCCCCTCTGATCTCCATCTCTGTGATTCTGTTCCTGTTCTAGTTGTTTCCTTTGTTTGGTTTTGTTTTTTACTTTTATTTTGGTTCAGTTGTTGATAGTTGTGAGTTTGTTGTCATTTTACTGTTCATAGATTTTGATCTTCTTTTTCCTAGATAAGTCCCTTTAACACTTCATATAATAAGGACTTGGTGATGATGAACTCCTTTAACTTGACCTTATCTGGGAAGCACTTAATCTGTTCTCCCTTCTAAATGATAGCTTTGTTGGATCGAGTAATCTTGGATGTAGGTTCTTGCCTTTCATGACTTGGAAAACTTCTTTCCAGGCCATTCCTGCCTGTAAGATTTCTTTTGAGAAATCAGCTGCTAGTCCTATGGGAACTACTTTGCAGGTAACCGTCTCCTTTTCTCTTGCTGCTTTTAAGATTCTCTCCTTATCTTTAATCTTGGGTAATATAATTATGATGTGTTTTGGTGTGTGTTTCCTTGGGTCCAACTTCTTTGGGACTCTGAGCTTCCTGGACCTCCTAGAAGTCTATTTCCTTGGCCAGACTGGGGAAGTTCTCCTTCACTATTTTTTCAAATAAGTTTTCAATTTCTTGCTCTTCCTCTTCTCCTTCTGGCACCCCTATGATTTGGATGTTGAAATGTTTAAAGTTGTCCCACAGGTTCCTAAACCTCTCCTCATTTCTTTGAATTCTTGTTTCTTCATTCTGTTCTGGCTGAATGTTTATTTCTCTCTTCTGCTCCACATCATTGATTTGCCTCCTGGTTTCCTTCTCTTCACTGTAGGTTCCCTGTGTATTTTCTTTATTTCACTTTGCATAGCCTTCACTTTTTCCTCTGTTTTGTGACCATACTCAACCATTGCTGTGAGCATCCTGATTACCAGTGTTTTCAACTCTGCATCTGATAGGTTGGCTATCTCTTCATTGCTTAGTTCTATTTTTGGAGATTTGATCTGTTCTTTCATTTGGGCCATATTTCTTTGTCTCAGTGTGCCCGTTACATTGTAAGGAGTGGAGACTTAGATATTCACCAGGGTGGGGCAACCTAGGTCACTGCATTGTGATGCTGTATATGGGGGTGGGGTCCAAGAGGGAACATTGCTGTTTACTCAGCTCTCCAGTGGCTTTCAGTCACTTCCCCCACTACCCACAAGCAATTTGGCCCCTTCTAGTGCTGATTCCCAGGTGGGTGGGTTTGTGCATGATATAGGACCCTGTGGGTCTCTCCAACAAACTATCCTGTGAGGATGGGAGTTTCTCCCACTGCTGTATCCCCCACAGGTTATTACAACCAAAGGTTTTAAGGCTTTAGTTTCCTACACTAGACGCCTGGGTTGCTGGTCTGTCTTGCACCCCAGTTGTTCCTCCCGGTTTATCTTCACGCAAATGTGGGATCGCTCAGTCCACCAGTCACCAACTTGCCCACCCGGCCTCCCAGCCACCGCCTTACCGCCTGTCTTCTCCACCCCAACTGCCCATCTCCGCTCCTCCGACAAGTCTGGATGAATGTTTCTTCTTTAACTCCTTGGTCGTCAGACTTCCATATAGTTCAATTTTCCAGCAGTTCTGGTTGTTTTCTGCTCTAAAACTTGTTGTTGTCCTTCTTTTGGTTGTGCGAGCAGGCAAAGTGTATCTACCTATGCCTCCATCTCGGCTGAAGTCCTCTCTGAGGAATTTCTGCCAATGAAGAGATGGTGGATCCAGAACACACACACCACACCCACAGTGGCTCTGCAGGCCTCTGACGCCCTGCAGAGATCCTTTCCCCGACTATGTGCAGCATTCTCTCTTTCGCACCTGTACCACGGTCTGCCTCCCCCTTTCCTTGGGGCCTCCACAACGCAAACCTCCGAGTACCTCTTCGGGAGGGTCCCCAGGAAGGAGGCTGGAGCCTGGGCCTTCCTGTAACACAGGAAAACACAAGCCTACTGAAACCTACCCTTTACAGAGCTCCAGCCCTGAGGACCCTTCAGAGCCCACATTCCCTCCCCAAAACCCAAAAACCCAAGAGGACTTCCTTCTGTCTCAATCAATAAAGGAGGGTCCCTGTCCTCTCCTCTTTGTCTATTGCAGCTGTGTGCTCTCTATTCCTATCTGGGCTTCTCGACTCCCTCAACTTCCATCCATTTGGGAAGGTGTCTTCCCCTTCCCCTCTTTTCTCCTTTATTCCCTGGCTGGGGCCCAGGGTACTTTCATCTCTTCACCTCAAAGACTCAGTCTCCTGTGGCAGGTATTTGGAACCCGAGAACTCAGGCGTAATTCAGGCGCCTCTCCTCTCCAAGAGGATGTCTGCCTGGCTCTCTTCCTCCTTTCCTCCCCAGAGAAGAGATTCTCCTAGTCCCCCGTCACCCCTAGGTAGTGAGAGGGAGGATCATCAGATGGACCCAGGCCCTGTGGGGAAAAAGGGAACAGATCTTGAGATGTGGGCAAGAAGCTAGAGGTGGCTGCCCCACTACCTTTTCCTTCCCCAAGAGACTGAGCATGCCACAGCACTCACCACTTATAAAGTCTGTAAAGGGCTTGCCATCTGCTCCTCCTGGGGCTGGTGAAGACAGCGGCTCTTCCGTACCTATCCTCGTACAGCAGGTGTGATCTTAGTCTACAAACCTACATGGGCAAGAAATTTCAAACCCCTGCACCAGAGTGCTAGTGAGAAATGCAGCATCAGGCACTCTTGGGATCCCTCTGCCGAGGACTATGCGAAGGTCGTACAAACACCAAGGCACAAGGAGGCTTCCTACCTGCCTGCTACCCCATCCTATCATTGCACATCAATCTCACCAGTAAATGCGGTGGTCCCTGTGATTCCAGCAGGTATGACTCTCCATGTCCTGGACTCTCAAACACTTAGCTCTCTCTCCCTTTCTCTCTCTCTCTCTCTCTCTCTCTCTCTTTTTTCTTTTTTTTTCCTGAGACTGAAAATTCAGTTATGAAAACATCTGGGCTCAGAACTGGTTTCCCCAGATATACCCCAGAGCCATCTACTCAGGGCCTGCAACTTGCTTCATCACAGCCAAGGACTAGAGCTCAGTGCCCACGCTGACTGGACCTACATACCCATCCCATCCACTGTCTTAAAAATCTCTCTCCAGACCTTCCTTGTCCCCAGCCTCTTCAGGGCGGAACGTCTTCCCAGATTTGCTTTTAACTTTTAAGAAGGCAGCCCTGGCTGGCGTGGCTCAGTGGATTGAGTGCTAGCCTGCAAACCAAAGAGTCGCTGGTTCAATCCCTGTCAGGGCAAGTGCCTGGGTTGCTGGCCAGGTCCCCAGTAGGGGAAGCAGGAGAGGCACCCACACATTGGTGTTTCTCTCCCTCTCTTTCCCCTTCCTTCCCCTCTCTAAAAAAATTAAATAAATGAAATCTTTAAGAAAAGGAAGGCAGAAGGGCCTTTAACATCAGGATGCCCCTGCTCTCAGCCCTGCCAAAACCCCTGCTTGCTCTAAATCAGGGGTGTCTAGACCTTTGGTTTCTCTGTGCCAGAAGAGTTGTCTTGAGCCACACATTAAATACACAAACACTAACAAGAACAAAAATTCTCATAATGTTTAAGTAAATTTATGATGCTGTGTTGGGCCACATTCAAAGCCATTTTGGGCCACATGTGGCCCATGGGCCACGGGTTGGACACCCATGCTCTAGATAGAAAAGAAAAAGATAAGCAGAACAAATAAATTTGTATCTCACTAAATTATCCTGCTACACTTGCAGGCCCAGTATTTGCCTCAAGCTCTGACCTGAACAGGCATGCAGTATGTTATTTATTCTGTCATAGAGCAGTCCCTCTCCTTGTTTGTGTTCATCTTTGACAATGTTGTCCTGTTCCTTCTTCTTTCTGTAAGATGCATGATTTAAAAAAATCAGATAATACATACTCATAGTTTAAAAATACCAAAAGTTGTATTCTGAATAGTATCCATTTACTGCAATGTTTTTATAGATTTTTTTATTTTTATTTTTAAATCATGTTTACTCTATTACAGTTGTCTCAATTTTTTCCTTTTTCCCTCCTCCACCCATCCCACCCTCCCCTACAGTCAATTCCCACTCTGTTGTCCATGTCCATGGGTCATTCTTACATGTTCTTTGTCTAGTTCCTTCCCCTTCTTTCCACCATTGTCCTCCTTTCCTATCCCCTCTGGTCACTTTCAGTCTGCCCCATGTTTCTATGCCTGTGGTTTATTTTGTTCGTTAGTTTATTTTGTTAACTAGATTCCACTTATAGGTGAGATCATATGGTATTTTTCTTTCACCAACTGGTTTATTTCACTTAGCATAATATTCTCCACTTCCATCCATGTTGTCACAGAAGGTAGGAGTTCCTTTTTTCTTTCTTTTTTTAATGCAGATTGATTTTATTTATTTTTTAATATCAAAATCAGTTATAAAATATTTAAATATTTAAATCCATTACAAAGTATCAGCAATTAAAATTACATGACACCAGCACAGAAATAATCAAGTAGATCAATGAAATAAAATGAGCATTCTAGAAACAAATGTATATATCTAACAATGTAATATATAATTAA